TTTTCCTCCGGAGAAAGATAGTGACTGTGATGCCTGCAGTTCACTAACAACAAACACTTCCTGTACATTAAACAGAAACAACGATAACCCTCATGGTTTTCTCTTTGGATCAAGCACTAAAGAACATTTTAGCATTACACGGTTGAGTTCAATGACTGGGACAAACGGCAGCTTTGGATTATGAAAGCGCCTTCAGAAAGAACTGGGAACATTTCTTACAGGGAGAGTAAATCTCTGCCATTAGTTACTCTTGTCACCGCCTGGCGTTGGATCAGCCTGACAGTTAATCCAGAGATTAGAGAGCAATGCAACACGCTGCTTTTAATCTGTTTGTATAAACCCGACCCGACAAACAGAAACAAAGACTGCAGCCAACAGTGATCCTGTCACCACCGCTAAGCTAAAGGTGGCTAATGTTGGGCTATAGAGGAACTACAGCACGGTCACATGACTTCACGTCACCACCGCTAAGCTAAAGGAGGCTAATGTTGGGCTATAAAGGAACTACAGCACGGTCACATGACTTCACCACCGCTAAGCTAAAGGTGGCTAGTGTTGGGCTATAAAGGAACTCCAGCACGGTCACATGACTTCACGTCACCACCGCTAAGCTAAAGGAGGCTAATGTTGGGCTATAAAGGAACTACAGCACGGTCACATGACTTCACGTCACCACCGCTAAGTTAAAGGAGGCTAATGTTGGGCTATAAAGGAACTACAGCACGGTCACATGACTTCACGTCACCACCGCTAAGCTAAAGGTGGCTAATGTTGGGCTATAAAGGAACTACAGCACGGTCACATGACTTCACGTCACCACCGCTAAGCTAAAGGTGGCTAATGTTGGGCTATAAAGGAACTACAGCACGGTCACATGACTTCACGTCACCACCGCTAAGCTAAAGGAGGCTAATGTTGGGCTATAAAGGAACTACAGCACGGTCACATGACTTCACGTCACCACCGCTAAGCTATAGGTGGCTAATGTTGGGCTATAAAGGAACTACAGCACGGTCACATGACTTCACGTCACCACCGCTAAGCTAAGGTGGCTAATGTTGGGCTATAAAGGAACTACAGCACGGTCCACATGACTTCACGTCACCACCGCTAAGCTAAAGGAGGCTAATGTTGGGCTATAAAGGAACTACAGCACGGTCACATGACTTCACGTCACCACCACTAAGCTAAAGGTGGCTAATGTTGGGCTATAAAGGAACTACAGCACGGTCACATGACTTCACGTCACCACCGCTAAGCTAAAGGAGACTAATGTTAGGCTATAAAGGAACTACAGCACGGTCACATGACTTCACGTCACCACCGCTAAGCAAAAGGTGGCTAATGTTGGGCTATAAAGGAACTACAGCTAGGTCACATGACTTCACGTCACCACCGCTAAGCTAAAGGCGGCTAATGTTGGGCTATAAAGGAACTACAGCACGGTCACATGACTTCACGTCACCACCGCTAAGCTAAAGGAGGCTAATGTTGGGCTATAAAGGAACTACAGCACGGTCACATGACTTCACGTCACCACCGCTAAGCTAAAGGAGGACTAATGTTGGGCTATAAAGGAACTACAGCACGGTCACATGACTTCACGTCACCACCCGCTAAGCTAAAGGAGGCTAATGTTGGGCTATAAAGGAACTACAGCTCGGTCACATGACTTCACGTCACCACCGCTAACGCTAAAGGCGGCTAATGTTTGGCTATAAAGGAACTACAGCTAGGTCCACATGACTTCATGGTCACCACCGCTAAGCTACAGGTGGCGAATGGTTGGGCGATAGAGGACTACAGGCACGGTCACCATGACTTCTACGTCACCCCACCGCTAAGCTAGGAAAGGCGGCTAATGTTAGGCTATAAAGGAACTGACCAGCACGGTCCACATGACTTCATCCCACCGCTAAGCAAAAGGTCGGCTAATGTTGGGCTATAAAGGAACTACAGCTAGGTCACAGGACTCATCCTCACGTCACCCCACCCTCACCACCGCTAAGCTAAAAGGTGGCTAATGTTGGGCTATAAAAGGAACTACAAGCTAGGTCACATGACTTCACGTCACCACCGCTAAGCTAAAGGCGGCTAATGTTGGGCTATAAAGGAACTACAGCACGGTCACATGACTTCACGTCACCACCGCTAAGCTAAAGGAGGCTAATGTTGGGCTATAAAGGAACTACAGCACGGTCACATGACTTCACGTCACCACCGCTAAGCTAAAGGAGACTAATGTTGGGCTATAAAGGAACTACAGCACGGTCACATGACTTCACGTCACCACCGCTAAGCTAAAGGAGGCTAATGTTGGGCTATAAAGGAACTACAGCTAGGTCACATGACTTCACGTCACCACCGCTAAGCTAAAGGCGGCTAATGTTGGCTATAAAGGAACTACAGCTAGGTCACATGACTTCAGGTCACCACCGCTAAGCTAAAGGTGGCTAATGTTGGGCTATAAAGGAACTACAGCACGGTCACATGACTTCACGTCACCACCGCTAAGCTAAAGGCGGCTAATGTTAGGCTATAAAGGAACTACAGCACGGTCACATGACTTCACCACCGCTAAGCAAAAGGTGGCTAATGTTGGGCTATAAAGGAACTACAGCTAGGTCACATGACTTCACGTCACCACCGCTAAGCTAAAGGCGGCTAATGTTGGGCTATAAAGGAACTACAGCACGGTCACATGACTTCACGTCACCACCGCTAAGCTAAAGGTGGCTAATGTTGGGCTATAAAGGAACTACAGCACGGTCACATGACTTCACGTCACCACCACTAAGCTAAAGGTGGCTAATGTTGGGCTATAAAGGAACTACAGCTAGGTCACATGACTTCACGTCACCACCGCTAAGCTAAAGGCGGCTAATGTTGGGCTATAAAGGAACTACAGCACGGTCACATGACTTCACGTCACCACCGCTAAGCTAAAGGAGGCTAATGTTGGGCTATAAAGGAACTACAGCACGGTCACATGACTTCACGTCACCACCACTAAGCTAAAGGTGGCTAATGTTGGGCTATAAAGGAACTACAGCACGGTCACATGACTTCACGTCAGAACCACAGACCTTATTTCAGGATAACAACCAAAAACACATTGACCTCCAGACCAGGGGACAGGAAGTGATGTCAGGGTTTCAGGGCGTCCTCTAGTGGGACGGTGAAGATGAAGTGAGATTATAAACACGTGTACTGACCCGTACGAGGGGGTTCTTGGTGGCGTTCCTCTGCGGTTGTTGGACCCCCTGCTGAGTGGTCTGGCTCCCCCCCCTCGCTCCAGAGGGTTGGACCCCCTGCTGAGTGCTCTGTCCCCCGCCCTTCGCTGCAGAGGCCCCGCCCCTCGGCCTCTGCTTGATGCCGTCCAGCAGCCTCACCAGCAGGATGTTGGAGGGCAGCTCGTCCACGCCGCTCTCCACCAGCGTTCTGCACTCAGGACATCTCAACTCTCCACGAGATCCCAGAATGCTTTGCAGGCAGCGGCGGCAGAAGGTGTGTTGACACGGCAGAACTTTGGCCGTGGCGTCCAGACGCTCGAGACACACAGGACACTCGAGGAGATCCAACAGCACCGACTCTTCCATGTTTCAGCAGGAAGACGAGAGGAAGAGGAAGAGGAGGGTCAGAGAGGAAGAAGGAAGTAGATCCATCACGTCACTCCCATCCCAACGCCGTGGCCATGGCAACGGCATCAGCTGCAGAAACAGGACGTATTAATGTTAGAAAAATATCACGCACTTAAAGGTGGGGTATTTAAGAATGGAGACACCAGCTCGAGTGGCTAGAATTTGAAAATACACAACCGGAAACAATCTGCCACTTCCTTCAGACTTCCTCACAGAGCCCCTTTCCCCCAACACGCACGACCAATGAGGGCACGAGATCAGTGTGTGCCCAGATGGAAGGCTGGCAGGCAGGTAGGCCATCCAGTTACTTTAGCCGGCTCAGATGATTGGTCGAGCTTTCTACAGCGCCACGGCTTCAAAGCACTTCAGATATTCATTGCTATCGGGATGTTCAGAGCATTCCATGGAATATAACAAGTGCTTCTGAAGTGAACTACATACCCCATCTTTAAACACTGAAAAAAGCAAGTTTAAGTACAAAATAACGCAACCTGAGACACAGCATCAAACTTCCTGTTTGTAAGATAAGACTTTTTCAGAACTTTTCCGAAATTCTGACTTTATTATCAGAACTCCCAAAAGAAAATCACTTTTGGTCAGTTCTTAAAAAGGTCCCATGTCCTGCTTCTCTGGTTCTGACCCTTGTGTTCTGTAGCTTCTGCATGTGACCGGTCTGCAGAGTCCAAACCCTCAAAGTGCACCCTGTAGGGAGCAACACTCTGACACAGAGAAGACCTGTCTGCCCCAGAACGCCTCGTTGGACATTTCTCATGTTCCATAGTTTGCTTCCTGGGTTCTGTGACGTGTGAACACCCAGATCAACAACAAATGACCGGATTGGCCCAAATGGACCAATCCGTGGAGCTCTTCACCAGGACCCCTTGGCTAACTAACGGAGAGTCCCATTGACTTGCATAGAGCTCCCTGGTTGGTAATAGACGAGTTGGGATGGTGGAGGAATGCTCTCCACAGACCCGTTCTCACAGCGTTATAAACCTTTCTCTTTCTCAATATCAAGCCACACTTATTGTTTTTACTTCGACTGTGAGTGCGTGTGTGCTCAGGATGAGTTTCGCTTGTTCTCTCTGTATCGCCGACCCGGAAACCTGTCCGCTCCTCGCAGCAACGAGCCTCGCAACGTCCCGACCAATCAGAGTACACTGGGCTCACAGGGAGGGGGGGGGGGGCAGGAGCTCCAACAAGCCGTGTAGGACAGAGAGTGAATACACAGACTATACAGAGATGCTGTGAGAAACCAATGAGAGTTTGGAACATTGAACAAAGTGAATCTATTCTAGTCGACCTCAACGATGGAACTATGATCAGTGGAAATGGCCACGGGACCTTTAATCATTTGTTTGCGTGTGCCGCTTCTCCTCTTCCACATGTCTGCGATAATTACATCGCAAATCGTACAATGTCGTCAAAATGTACTCAAAACCGCCAAGAAACAACTTTATTTGATGCTTTTTCTGTTTTGTAAGCTTCAGCTTCTGTGAGTCAAAACAACCGGATCTTTGGAATTAAATACTAATGTATTTGTGTTTATGTGCATAAACACAAATACAGAGTAATCAGATTACAATATATTACTTTCAACAGAGCTTGTGTTCTCAACATGATATTTAATCGCTTGTTGAGCTTGTTATGATCAGGGAGGCGTGTGGCACAGTGGCGTAGTGCGTTGGTCACAGGTTCAAACCCCACTGCAGTCAGCTCCTGCGGGGATTGCCCACAGTATTGAGTATGTAAATCGCTTTGGATAAAAGCGTCTAACGAGTGACATGTAATGTAATCAGATTACAATATATTACTTTCAACAGAGCTTGTGTTCTCAACATATTTAATCGCTTGTTATTATCAATTCAAACGATGTAATGGTGTGTCACGATATCTTTTAGTGCACATTTGTTTTAAACAGCAATATGGTACATATGTATTACATTTTAAATATTGTAAGTTAATGTTTCTTGCACCAATACTCAAAAAAATGCTTATTTGTGAAAACCTAATTGGCAATTAACCCAATTCTGATATTGCAGTTGGTAATTAAGGAGGGAATAGTACAACTTATATTTTGGGATATATACATAAATGTACCACGTGTTGAGACAACAGGCTCAGTTACATTAAAACTGCAGCTATAAGCACCATTTATATTTATTATAAATGTAGTAAACACTGAGATAAATCATAAACTGGAAATACAAAGTGTCCACAGTGCGTTTCTGCTGTCTGATATCAGAGTAGGGATCATATTGGAAGTCATATTTAGTCAATATAAACCTGGAAACTGTGATTTTGGACCCAAAGTAAGTAGAAATCTGCAGTGAAAGGCTGTGATTTGGCTTCAAACTGAGAAACACATGTGTTCAGGCTGAAATACAAGAATACTAATAATGGGTCTTATTCAGAGGTGTAAAGAATGAATACTTCTACTTTTACTCAAGTACAAGATCTGAGTACTTCTACTTTTACTCAAGTACCAGCACTGAGTACTTCTACTCAAGTAGCAGATCTGAGTGCTTCTCACAGTCAGTGTAACTTTACACCATTACAAAAAGACAATATTTGGTGTAAAATACACTAAAAGTCACTTTTTAGTGAGTTTCTTGTTGACAGATTTAAAGCAAAGTGATCAGACTGACTTCACTGTCTCCTCCTCTTACTGTGACTTTAAGTTTTTACAGCCCAGAACAATGTCTCCTATAACTTCTCAGACAGAAGCAAACAACCTTCAAACACTTTCAAATAAATCTAATATAAAGAATATTGATCTCTTACCTCAGAAAATCTCAGAAAACTTCCACCCCCCAAATTCTTTTTTCTGCCTTTCTGCAGCTCGTTAGCGATCCGTCTGGAAACCAGTCCTCTTTTCTCCGGAGGACCAGCGGGACAAACGCTGCTTCTTCCCCGGGGAGAGGGCTCTAATGCCGGCTGGAGTTTATCAACACTCGTGTCGGACGGAGGAAGAGAAGATAAGATGGAGAGGAAGCGGGAGAGAGAAGAGAACTCCTGCCATGCTAACCCTGATGCTAACCCTAGAGCTAACACTGATGCTATCCTGATGCTAACTCCGCTACTTCTGTTCTGTTGCTGCAAACAGAGGGGGAGGAGGGAGGCGTTCAGGGCCAGCTCGGAGATTACAGTTGTTGTACACAATTCAAAGGTTTTAATGCAGGGGGGTCCAAACGTTCTTCACTGAGGGCCACATACAGAAACATATAGGAAGGTCAGGGCCGCTCACTAGAGGTATATCGCCTTATAAATTAGCTAAATTAATCCAATGTAGTTAAATGATTATTGATACTTGAAAATGCTGTTAGAAACACAACAGCCTAAATCCCTTCTCTCCAGAGGGTTTACTTTATTGAGTTATAAGACGTGTAGCAGCTCATCCCTTAACACAGAAGCTTCAGATTGATGATAAAAAGAGGAAATATGAAGGTTAGATTTCAAACTTCAAAAGTCATTGGGCTTTTTTTAATCAACTAAGATTTGTTTGACATGTTTCCCAACTTTAATTTACTGAATCTATTTGAAAAGTGGGCTTTTTAACACATGAATACTGTGTAATATATGTCTACACACAATATATGACAAGCACACGTTAATCTGTGGGCCATATTTCATTGTACTTTTTTAATTAGCTGAGGGACGATTCAAGATGGACCGCATTTGGCCCCCGCACCGTAGTTTGGACACCCCTATTTTAATGTCATATGCTCAGCAGCTACAGTGTAGAAATTGCAATGAGATTCTTCTGACCTGAGCTCCTCCCACAATGCAACATAGATCATAAAATACAAAAATACAAAATAAGAACTAAAATATGATGGCTACACGACACCGAGTTGGA